AGTTTTAGTTCGTAATGTAGTATTTTAATATTTTAATCCTAAGGTGTTGTGTTTTCCCAGTAAGGTATGAGGCCGTATTCTTAAATTATTGCAGAGCTATTTTTAAATGGTACCTTACAATACGAAGTGCAGTATGGCCATCGTTCAGTGTCGAATTTTCTCTCGAATCCGGAGCATTCAACATTTTCGAGTACAAATATTCAACGGATGATCGTTTTGCATTCAGCAGTTACTGTAGGCAAAAGTCACAACACGATTGGTGTTTTCTACTTCCATGCCAAATGATTCCTCCTAATAAATTGCTGAAGGTTTCGCAAATTTTGGGTTTTCGTTTGATTTGTGCTTTTATTGTCCCGTCTCTTATTTCGCCACTATCTACTATTATTATTTTTTTTCCATTCTCATCTCTCTTTTGAACGGGAAATCCACATTGTTTTCTGGAAGCGCTCGTCTGGAGGTGTTGGCTAAATGAATGCCAGATAGACATTTCCTCGTTCGCACTGTGTCCAATGCATGTTTTCTTCGTCCTCCCACACTAATGGAAATGCTGTTGGAAAACCATTAACACGATTGTTGAGATTCCAGTCACTAATGCCTTAAGTTGAACAATGGGGTTTTAGATTGAAGAGCTAGTTAATCCTATTCACCATTAAAGAAACCTTGAAATATAAAGAAAATTTCAAACGAACTTCTCTCAAGCTGTTCGTTTTGTGCCAATGTTTTCCACTTTCTACTCGTCGTCTTCTCATTTATTGCTAACCCTTTTTTAAGACCATGCCAGAAATGGAGTGTGCGTCGAAGCATCCATGAATCTCATTGCATAAAAAGACACCTCGTATGCTGTTTGCTGAAGGATCTGGTTTCGTCACTGTCAACCGTAGGACCGCTTAGAGACCATCTTTGTCACGGTATCGATGACTTATACGTCGTTAACACAACATTATACGACGAGTCAGGCGATTTTAGGCTAAAATCATTCATGATGTGCTTTTCCTATGTACCGAATCTATGCTGTGTATGTGCGCAGTCATCTTTAAACCGGTCAGCCAAGCTTCATTCCACGTTTCCTGACTCTAGGATTATTCTTCTTAAGTGTCCTTAGTATCTTATTTCTTTCATCGGCATCATTGTTCGACGAAACTGCTTCGAGCTGCTTATTACTGGTTCGGAGACTCCTAGGAAGAAAAAACTAGTGCCCATCATGGGAATGCTAACACAAGGATTTTTCTTTATTTAAAAAATTTACATGATTTTTTCGAATCGGTCTCGTTAATGTGATAAACCTTTATGGTTCGGAGTTTCAGTTGCTAGTAACGTTATCGGTTACGGTTGGCGACGGTTTCGATAGACCACCATTGGTAGAGTGTTCAAAATCCGAAGCGTGCAGTATGAATGTCGTATTGAACTCTCTGCTTTTAGAATAACACTTGGGATTATTATGAAAGCTTCTTTAATAGATGGTGTTTCTTCTTTCACTTTCATTTACCAGTTTAATCTCATGCGGTGAACAAGTTCGAATCGATTTTGCAGTGCTTCTGGATATGTTTCAGATTTAATGTTGGTTGTGTAACAGCAGTTCCTCTCCGGTTTCTGGCGAAATTTTCTGTAGTTCTTCATCCGCACTCCCCGAAACCAATATTTAATGCATCCTGTGCTTCAACGCTGTCCATCTTTCTAGGTTTTGCGGAAGGCGTGTGATAAGAAGGTGTGAATCACTCTATCGAAGCAATGCTAGGGTATTGTGGTCGAACCTTGAGCGTTATTGGACACGTAGGCGCTAGCATTACCTTGAGGTAAAATACCTGTTTTTGTTAGTCCCGATATCGTTCCTGTATTGCATTCCGATCATTTGAAAATATATTTCCGTTTATATGCTTGGGACACTCCTGTATTAGTTCCCACGATCGATTTTTCTATTTCTATCACTTCTGTATTAGCTATGACCCTGTTTGGTTGGGTGGACCCTTTGAGGGTGTGTGGATGGATGTTTGTTCTGTGTCGTCAACGCTCTCGTCTGTGTTCGTTATTCCACATGCCCCTATTCTCAGCGCCATGTTTGCTGTGGACTTTTCACGCTGACTATGTGCTTAACTCTGCAGAATACTATGCACTTCGAAAAGTCTAAAACTCTCTCATGTCAGTCACTTTGGTGGAGGTAATAAAAATCATACTCATTAGGTAATTTTTTCACTTTTTCTTCCCGGAATCTTCGCCGATGTCCAAATGTGGGATAATCTTTCCGGTAAATGTTCTATTTTAGTCACTAAAATATGATTCATGTGTTTCTCAAAACTGAACTTTCAAGTAATCCTGTAAGTTTCCCTTTATTTCAAGAAGGAATGGCGGGAAACCAAACTGAACTAACCACATAATTTGCAGAAGTTTTTGTTTTATTGATGTCATCTAACCACCTTCCACGTTCATTGAATGAATGGTTTTTCTGTGCTTCCTATAGCCCCATAGATTTATTAGTTCGCTGCCTAGTTTTCTGTAATAATATTTTTTTACCATATACATCATCAAGTTCGTAAGGCAGATTTTCAGTCACACTTAGCAATATTCAATAAGTCGGTTTATTCCTGTTGAACTGATGCGAGTTTCTTGGTATAAAGTTTACTCTACAATAACCAATATGTCGATGAATTGGACCACCGTCAGTAGAGCCTGAGAGGGGTCACATTAACATGGAACTAATTCGATGAAGTAGCTTTATAACTTTGACGAAAGGTCCGTGTACCAGATTTCAGTTACTATAGGTTCATGGATTGCTTACATTTCCATCCGCTCTCATTCTTATAGAAGAATGAGATCATTTCATAGAATTCATATGGGATGATGAACGAATTTCTCTAGGGTCAATAGGTCGACATTAGATGTGATATGTGACGAGGTCATGCTTAATTATAAGGGATTTGCCCCCAGGGTTCATCTATGACTCTTCGGGTTTGATCCAAAACACATCTGCTTGTTTTTTTCTATGGTGATGTTTTGAATGCATATGTCAAGACCATGAACTTTACTTGAGATCTTCACTGTCGTGTTTTTGCCTTTTTACACCAATATTACTGCTTTGAGAAATCCCATTCTTATATCTTGATACTCTTTTAAATGATGGCAAAGTGCTCTATCAGTCTTATCAGTAATGTTCGTTGCCGCATATGCCTTGAACGAAATCAAGTATGTTATTATATCCATACTCATGTAAGCTTCGCTTTACGCTGACCTCATGACAATGCTCAAGCGACCAATCCGTATCTTAATATGAACCCTTCCATACCCTGAAGAAGATGAGCTCTGTAAAACGGTCTGCGTTTCGGAAATAAACAAACACAAACGGAAATGAGCAGAACCTACATAGGTCGATTCTTGTCATATTATCAGTTCCTCCTGCAGCAATAAGAAGGAGAACATAATTAACAAATTGGTATTTTGATTCAGTGTGGAATCGTGTTGAGAGAGATTTTGAGAAATGGAGTTCGTCTATAAGTCAGCAATTTCTTTCAAAGTTGCCATCGATTGGTTTATTTTTTAAATCTTTGATAACTAAGAGACTTCATAAAACATTGCAGAGGACATAATACTCGAAAGATAAGGAATCATTGAATGTTTGTATACGATGAATGGAACGGCTGGTTTGCTTGAATTTAACCTATTTGAGTATGATTTTATCATCGACTTCTGTTTACGCTAATCTCATGAGAACGTTGAGCATGTGAAAGCTGGCTGTATGTGGTTCATAGTCGTATTCTTATAATCCCTCATCTAAAATTGAGGAAATTTCGACGACCTTAGCTATCGATCTGATCGTAGAGTGGGAGTGCATGCCACATTTCAAGGTCTTTGTGACGCCGTAGTAGATGTACTGGATATTCTAGATAGTAAGCAGTTAATCATCAATCACTGAACTAACGAAATCTAAGGCAATTCTTCACATCGTCCACCGCCACCACCACAGCCGCCACTTGTTATTCAGTTAAGAATATGTTTTTGGTACAACTAGCTCCTATTTTATATGCCATATGCGTGCGTAGGTCGCTTTATCTGTTGTCCCTTAATTAGCACCAGAAGAGTTTCTTCATGAGCGTGCCGACGACGATTCCTGTAATTTAATTTTTTTTTTGTGAATAACATTTAGTCTTTGCATCTCTTCATCATTCGCATTCTGTACAATTGTTTGCAAGTATATGAATACTGATAGAAGAAAATCATTCAAGAATTATGAAATTATTCAGTAGAACTACGAGGTATCGCTCATGACGGTGGAATATTCAAATGGGGGCTGTGAAGTTGATGCATATCGACTGGCGAAAAACTAGCTAATCAATCGATCTGCATCTGTCTCACTATCGCTTTTATCACATCTCAACATCGTTGCTTGACTGTAAATAAAAGAGCTACTTGTGTCATCACTAATTGGGAGAACTTAATTGCTTCCGTAATGGATGTTCGATTTCTCCTACAAACAGCATTTTTAATTCTCAATCGAAATGACACGTAAAAGTTTGGGATATTAGTGAATGTAACTGAATTTATGTCTTGATATCTTGCTGTTCCACATTCCAAATAAAAGACCATGTGATAGCTTAGCGTTTTGCATTAGCGTTGACCTGGTGGTTTCATTCTGGCCGCAAGGTGGTCGTTATTTGTGTTTAGGAGGAGCAACAAGCCTGACAAGCTGAACACCTGCTTCCCTCATCGCATTATTACTGATTAAGCATCCCAGTACCCTCAACGTATCGCCGGGCAATAATCATCGATTCGGCTTCTGAAGAAGATTGTAATTTTCTCTCAATGGCTGGATGATTGCTAGGAGTCTCATTCTCCGAATACATCCAATGTCTATCGTGTCCATGGAAATTGTCATCCTACTGTAGTCTTTTTACTTGTGTAGTCACATCATTCACATTTTACTCATTCTGGGTAATGCTTCACAGTTGCTTGATAACCATATAGAGTTGTCAATGGAAGTTTTCTTTGTTGATTGCAGTTTACGTCGTACTATGAACCCACGACGTGATGCACAACGTCGTGTTGAAAACGCGCTACAATTATGGGTTCTTGAAGCTAAAGGAGTGCCATCGAAGAGGAGGTCATTTCACGTTTTATTCCGTTTAGTATTCTTTAATAATACATCTTTGCTTTAGGTACTACTGTGAACTCTGTTTGGACAAGACTTTATATGCGAGAACATCCTCAAAACCGTTAGTGGACAACGTATTCTGGGGGGAACACTTTGATTTCACGTTCGTTTTTCTTCAAGTTTGTCTTATTTAAAATTCATGATCTTTAAGATAGGGATTTACGAGTTGCAATTTGTCGTTATAGTATTTAATTGTACGTGTTTTAGTATGCTACAAAAGATGGACGAGGTGTGCATTAATCTGTATCGTGAAGGTGATCCGAAAAAGAAAAAAGAGCGTTCGACGTTGATTGGATACATATTGATCGCCATCGAACAACTCAAAAGTCGACATCCAGTGGAACGATGGTTCGTGATTATATGGTATTTGTAACGTCGTTTGAGTCATTCATCCGTGTTTTTCATGCCACCATGGAGTGATGGAAGGGTTAATGAGTAAGAGGAATGGTGGTATTTATTTCTCATGTCGATGTGCAAAGAGGGTAAAAGAACTAAGCTGTTGCGACGAAACATATTGGAAATACTTGTTTCGAAAAATTTGTAATGGTTAGTTTCATCGCGAAACATTTACAGAATAGTGTGAGCAATCGAGATCCATTCTGCTTTCGTACGTCGCATACGCAAATAGAACCTACCGATTGATCTGTGATGATATGCCAATTAATTCGACACAAAAGAACTTTTGTATCAACTCGGAACCTCGGGGCAACTCCGAACCCATGCATTTTCGTGGGGATCATGTGTTACCTACTGCACCACCGAGGCCTTTGGTTTGCCTTTCTTCCAGCCAGCCATCAGCCACTACCCGTCAGTAGGAATAATCTGGCGAGTAAAAATCGCCATTGAGCCAGCTGAACTGAGGCTGAAGTTGAAATCACAATGTTTAACTTTTCATTTAGTGTTTACTCGTTGTTCATGGCAGGATGTTATATGAAATATACCTGCAGTTATGCTAAATTACTTCTAAAACTTGGAACCTCACGCCAACATCGAAACCGCTTTTTCTGAGGACTCACGCGTTACATATTGTATAGGAATTAAATAAAAAGTTGTGATCGTAGTACAATACGCAGTAAATAAAATGCTAAACATTGTGATTTCTACTGCAGATTCAGCTTAATTGAGTTCAATGCCGACTTGTGCTCTCTAGATCGTTCCCGTCGTTGGGTGATTGCTGACTGCACCGTTAAGTAGAAAACTGACTGAGAGAAAGGCAAAACAAAGCTCTCCGTGGTGCAGTAGGTAACATGTGAGCCCCTGTAAAGGGTAATCGCGTGTTCAAAACTTACCTGGGGTTCCGAGTGCTGCAAACATTTCAGCATCATTGTGGCTGCATTTCACCTAATACCGTACCATTAAAAATTGGTAGGCAGTAAATTAAAAGTTAAATATTGTGGACTCCTATGTTTGTTTTGTTTCAGTGGTTATCGCTCTTTTGCTTTACTGTCAAAATTGTGATTCTTTATTTCGTAACTGATTGAGAATCCTCGTAATCGTCTCGATGTTCACTGTTTTTTTCACTATTTCCTTGGACAACTACAATATTACAGTACTCTGTCATCACTGTAAATTCAGACCATCATCCAGATGAGAGCTGCTTGGCTGTTTCGCAGTTTGGTTGCTATGCTACTGTGGTGTATTTTTCCGGCTTTGGTTATCCGCCTCAAACCAGAACCACTGTCAAATTTTTCTGCGGAAACCAGACATTTTGTGTCTCACAATTTCTGTTGTAAATGAAATCCTTGTAGAACCGGAGATTTGATTAAAGTTAGGTGACCTAAGTTCTCCTGTTTTCGTCTTTATCATGCATTATTTCACCTCTGTCGTAAGGTTTTTTCTAGCCGATACTAGAAGTCAGCACTAGCGATTTTCATTCGGGGAAATTGCATTAGCTACAGTACCACTAACTTCGATTGTGTGATGACATATCTATTAATTTGATGAAAACACTATTAGTTTATTATTGTCAGGAGCACTGTTACATCCCCACATTGATCGAGTACCCTAGTACGAAAATGTTTATGTCATGGCTATTACAATAATTATTTTCATTACGATTCAGTTAGAGAGCAACGTGCTACGCTGTGGCTAGAGGTGCCTACAATACACGTAGGATCGATCCCGCACCCGCGCTCACAAGGCCTTCCATCCCTCTGGGTCAGCAAATCGGTACCAGACTAGTTTCAGAAGGTAGCAGCACTGACTCGACACATCGCTAAATCACCGCCAATAATACTATAGGCCAGATTTGCATCCAGTCGCCTCTGTGATTTCAACTACAGCCATAGCTTAACTGGGTTCTATGCCGATTTGCGCTTCCCAGATCAACCCCGCTGACGGGTGATTGCTGTGGCAAAAAGATCGATAGAAATAGCTGAGAGACAGGCGAAACGAAGGACCCGAATGGTGTGGTGGTGAACGCGTTACTCCCCGGAAAGGACAATAGCGCGTTCGTTCCCCACCATAGACACCTGCGGTCCAGAGTTTTGCAAATATCTCAGCAACGTTGTGGTTGTACTTTCATGAGCTTTGACACATTCGTGATGATATTGACTTTTTTCTGATAAGTGCTGATAATTTCTATATAGCCTGATCAGTTGGGCGCTTGACAAAACGATAGAACTTTGCCATGTTGCCCTAAAGGCATATTTAAATCTAAGTATGAACACATACTTGTATAGCATTTCGCTTTGATTTTCTTAAAAATCCAAATTTTAAAATTTTTTGATGCGATCGCGGCAACCACAACATGAACGACGAGTTCAGGAAATTCATCGTGGTACAACAAATTTCACTTCTTCATTCATTTCGCTATTTGAAATCTCGAATTGAACGAGAACAGTGCACTTGATGGACCACAGAACCAAATTTTATTTTGGTAGAATATTTAAGTGTTTACCTTCTTGCAAAAGATCTACGAATTCCACCGATTTCCTTTCAACCGATATTTTAGGGCTTATTTACCCATTTCTGTGTACATTCTATCGCTTTATTTATATCATCATCACTTTTTTTTGGAATTTTTTTTAAAATCTATTGCCGATGTTCTTGATTAAAGTTTTCTTTCCCATTTTTTTTTCAAAATTGCTTTTACTTCACATTTGGTATTGCGTTTCCACCTCGAATTGTCTTCGTCACCTTCGCAATATTGGAATCATTTATACTCACATTTTCTTTAGTGAATCTCACAATGAAGAGCATCAGCACACTTGGATCATCCAAGCTGTAAGGACGAGCGTCAAGGCCGTATAATTCGTAGTTAGGGAACTACGACATTTAAAGAAACTGCGCTCTCACTCTTCGTTCTTAACAACTGCTGAATTACAGTTCATCTAGAAAGAGGTTTCTCTGCGGAAAAATAGAATTTCCAATTACGTACTTCTTGTTACTAAGTGTAGAGGTGCTTGTGTAGCGCAGTGGTCGGAGAGGCTCTGCAATACACATGGGATGGATTCCCGCGCCACAGGCTTACCAAGCCCTCCGTCTATCCGAGGTCGGTAAATCGGTACCGGACTTGTCTGGGAGGATAGCAGCATTGGCTCGATACATCGGTAGGCCACTGCGACTTATTGTAAAGTCTAGATATGCATTCAATCATCTCCAGCGATACTTAATGAAGTCGGTTGCATGGCGCATCTCTAAGGGATTGATCAGCACCGTGAGCTTTCTCCTTTTTTTCCTTTAAGTGTAGAGTTTTAGGAAGCTAACAAATGTAACAGTCGTTCGAACCTCGGTATCTCTAGAAGTTATGAAAACTGTCGCACTGTTCCGCTGCTGACTATGCCATCCAATAATATTTATAGTCTGGATTTAGGCTTCCCTCTTTTTAAATCTTCTTGTACTAGCTTTACTCGCCAAATAATTTTACTCATACAGGTATTCGGTTACGACAACTACTGAGGGTGGCAATCGATTGGCATCTGCATTGAGTACGAAGAATACGGCTCATGAACAACCAGCTGTTCGTATCAAGGTTGGTATCTGATACATGGGACTAGTGACGAGTATTTAATAGTTTTTATGTGACTAGTGACGAGTATTTAATAGTTTTTATGTTATTGTGGTAGAACAAACATGTTGAGGAAGATTATTCATTCAGTGGGTACGCAGATGACAGCTCGGATGCTCGTTTCATCAATTGTTACTTTTTAGTTCAAAACGTTTTGCAAATATAACGAAGCTTCGGAAGTTTTTCCGTAGAAACTAGATTTATTCTTTCCTTCATGAATTCTGCATATCTTTAACTGAACACGTACGACCTGAAATAATTACCCTGACCCTATACACATTTGTAACACCTCATCAGAAACGGTAACTTTGTTGTGGTATCTGAACAGTAAGTGAGGAGTCTTTACGGGGTTTACTAACTCTTCCAAATAGTTAATTTTTTTATAAGTTGTAATTTGCATAGGATTGATTTTCGTTTGGCCTCGTTGAGGTGCAATATCTCCGACAAATAGGCTACTGATCTGTGTTAGAAGGAGTCACAGAGAAAGTTTTTGCGGTAAAGGAAACAGCGACAAGGAAAACACATTGAAATTAATGTGTTTTGTTAACAATGTCCTATGGAACACGAGGCGATGTCAACTCATAGGACTGGAAATGTGTTGATAGTTGTTAATGGCATGTTTTCCTAACTAAAATTAGACGACGAACAACATTAATGCATTTGCTCGGCAAGGGTTTTCTAGTTCGATAATATTTAGGCTCGATGGCAAAGTATAGAAATACTACCAATACGGGCTTACGATGAATTTCTACATTATCTGTCTTGTAACTATTTGCCGCTATGCAATCATCTAGAGCCAGTACTTTCCGTCAGAGCAAAGGTAGGATTTTGCTATTACCTTAAACCAGTATTTCATTCATAAGAAGATTTTCGAGTCTTACTTGTAGGAGGACTTGGCGACAGCTTTAGTTCGTGTGTTGCACAAACAAAAGCTCGCTAACGACTTTCTTTGCGAACTGGTAATGTCGGAAGTCGATTCTTTAGGTGTGGTACATTTGCTTGTGATTTTTTATTAACTAAGAACTTGTTAAAAATAAACTACTTTAAGACAACGACCACTTGATGTTCCGTGGCAATTCGCTAGCGACTAAAGCAATGGAGGCTTACATGAAACTGATTGCTGATGAGTATCTACAGGTTTATAGAATTTGATATCTTTTATCTTATTCAGTAGGGCGCGTGTGGCGTAGTGGTCGGAGGCTCCTTGCAACACACGTGGAGTCGATTCCGGCGCCCATGGCCCACCAAACCTTCCATCCCTCCGGGATCGGCAAATTTACCAGACTTGTCTGGGAGGATAGCAGCACTAGGTCGATACATCGGTAGGCCACCGCGAGTCATTTGAAAAGCCAGGTATGCATTCAATCACCTCCAAACGATGCTTAATGAAGTCAAGTGCATGGCGCACACCTCAGAAATTGATCAACGCCGAGAGCTTTATCTTTATCCTTTTTACTCTTATTTAGTGCGTCGAAATCAGTTTTAACGTTAATGTTTTCAGTCTGTGCTTGGAGATTTCGTACAAAATGTTTTAACATCAAACGAGTCTTGTGAGGTTGATCCATTGAAATTGAATGGAACGTCAACGTCAACATTAGAGAAGAATCGAATTAATCTGACTAAATTAGTTGAACTTGCTTGGGAGAAAATCATTGGAAGGTAACCGAGGGATTCCACATTTTACCATGTGTCTAAACACTTTTATGAAAACTTGCTTAACATCTATTCGTTTTCTTCTACCAAAGTCTCGATTTTCAGTACCACTTTCTTTCCAATGGAACTGCGAATGGTATTCAGATCCTTACGCGATCGGCTGGAATCTCAAGGCCGGAATTCTCTGGCAGATACACTCATTTCTTCCTCGATTTTTCTTCGATATTTGTGTCCTGCTATTCTTAGTCCCAGTCTTTTCAACCTGGTAAGCCAGTGTTTTCTTCTAATTTGACTTTTTGGTTTTTGATACCGCAACTGTCTTCTCTATGAAATTAGTGACAAGAATGTCCTTGGTCATAATGGTTCCTACTGCAAATAACACTGACAGTGCGACAAGTGCTGACATACTACCGATGAGTGGTATGCTCACCTGTCGTGCAACATTCAGTGCTTATCAATGAAGTAACTAGTAGTAGCAAAGTTTTGTAATTTTCGTTTTTAGGTAACAGAATATCCTAGTGGAGTGATGGCGCGAAACCTTACGCTCATAGCAAAAACGCTTCAAAATCTTGCGAATTTTACCAAATTCGGTGGTAAAGAGCATTACATGGAGTTCATGAACAGTTTTGTTGAGCGTGAATGGCTGCGCATGAAAGATTTTCTTCGGCGGATATCAACTGGGTAACTATCATATATCATATGACCTTACCTTTTCAATTATCAACAAACATGATTTTCTTGATATGTTTGGGCAAGGAGGTCTAGGAAGGCTGTAGCCTTATGCTATTAGATCTTATATCTTATAGAATCTTATACGTCTATGATTTGATGTTTCAACATTTTTAGTCACTTATGTACTTGGATGGTTCATCTCCCCATGACGTATTACTCATTTACTGTACTTCTTACATTTGTTTCGTTGTTTTGAACCCAGCATCCATTGAGATGGTCCGGTTTGTGTGTAAGTTGGGGTGCTGCCTGCTGATCTGTTGTTTATTCTTCTCAATGACATGTCATTTCCTGGTCGTACGTGGTCTACCATGGATAATGACCGCGTTATGACATACCTAAATTTGTGGATAGAGAGAGAATTTCGTGCGACTAAGGTTCTCGTAGGATAGCAGTGACTCCAGTAGTCAATGGATCGACCAGTCGACTGCTAGAGAGCAGTGTAACAAACAATCTCGTTTTCATATTATTATACTGTTGATTTTTTAAAAATAGTCTCTATCATACATATGCCAGCGTAAACGTTCAGTTTGGAGAAGTCACTTTCCACTGTTTCAGGCAGTCGCTTCGACCGCCCACTGAGGTCATTGTCGATATGGGAAAAGATCTGAGTCTGCTGAACACGTACCTGGAGGAAGCGTGGACTCCAGAGATTCAAGAACGAGCTCGTGTTTCCGATAAGCGACTAACAGAACTTCGCAAAATCCTACTGGATTTGCATGAGTATAATCGGCGTTCCATATCTGGAGTCGCACAATCACCAGTACATCAGCAAAACAGTAGTGATTACGAAAATAGTCCTCAACAGATTTTGAGGTAAATTCCTTGGTAGCTAGCCTTCAATTAGAAGTGGTTATTATTCTTTGTCGTTCAGACCACGCAATGAGAACGTACCCGCATATCGTTCTACTCCTCCCACTGGGCAGGCAACGGTAATTACACGGAGTAAGCCGGCACCCCATCTTTTCACTAGTGACGACTATGTGTTGAGTACAGCATTTCAAGGATGTCTCAAGGATTCTCTTCAAGTACGTCTTACCAAATTGAATAATGAAACATTTGTTGTTAAAAAGAACTATTTTTATCTTTCAGTGTTCTAGACGTCAGCTAACAAAGCTGTGTCACGAGATTGACACCACGGGTAGTCATGTGAGTGAGAAGACATCGAGTAGTGGCGATGCAAGAGACACGGACAGCGATCCTGAGGCAGTAGGAGTAAGTTGCCATTGTGTTCTTGCAATATTATTAACTAACTTTTAAAGGGAGAAACGGACTTAACGATCGATGATTAATCCCTTCATCGGGTTGTTCACAGTCTACAATCAGTTATTGCATATTTCAGCTCCTTTCTGATCGAGCTTGCGCTCGAAAGACTCGTCGTCGTTGTGACGACTCACCTCCTGGAAGCCAGCAAGCTTCTAGTGGATATCACAGTAATAATCATAGCAGGTAGCTTATTTTGAACCTACACAGTTTTCTTACATCTTTTCACCTCTTCAAGATGAAGTTTTTTACACATTTAAACATTTTTGCTAATTACTTTTCCGTTTAATTGGTGAAAGAAGCTTGCGTTAAACAAACTTACTTTGGAACTTCAGTAATTCATCTTCTTCTTCGCCGATCGATCGAACAACAGCGTTATCCATCACGAATCCGGCTTTTAATGCCAACCCTTCGTTGTTCGGCTCTTCAGGATTTGCTGAAATTCGTCCAGGTCCATCAGGAATGGGTTATCGGCGATCAAGTCCTCCCCCTTACCATTCAGACCTGTTTAACCACTGCTCCACTAATCCAGTACGTTTATTAAACGTTGATGTGTAATACTTTATTTACAGTCGTCTACAAACTTGTTCTGCCTCTATGTGACCAGTTTTTACGGTTTCTAGGTTTACGCTCTTCCACCAGATTGTGATTCACAGCACAGTAGCCTTAGCGGGAAATCAAGTCTGCCAAGGTGTGCAGCGTTGTTTCTATTGTTCATCCAATATCAAACAATCAGAGTTTACAAATTTATTTCATGATGAATATCTTTTAAATGCTGAGCTCTCCGGTATTTAGAACTAACCCAAGAGCTACACGAAATTCATCCATGTTGAGACCGACCGTAATAGATGTAGTCCCTGACGACTGGGATAGGTCTGATGATTTTTTTCACTTTCAGCCAATTGAGCAACAATTTTAGGTGGCCAAGTTGCTTTATATTTCAGGTCGCCTAATAATATGTTTGAGAAAAACTGGAGCGGGGTGTCTTACGAGCAGCATCAACAGCAGCAACATTTGGTTTGTTCTTGTTTCATATGCACTGTGTCAATGTCTTTCGTCTTTAGGTTGTCTTTTCTACTTTAGTGTACGTTTTTAAGGAAATAATTCAGCAACAAAAGCTTGAAATTGAGCGACTTATTCGTGAAAACGAGATCCTGAAAAGGCACGTGGCAGCGGCATGTCCCTCGTTTGTGCAGACGAACAACGAAGTGTGTTCATTACTCTTACTACAGTAATTCGTTCAATTTCGTCGCATATTTTACTGCATAATTTCGTTCAAGTTTGTCCCTTAAGTTGTTTTTTTAGCTCAATCACAGTGATGTTTCTGGTGAGAGTTTTGACTCAGTCAGCTCGTCGGATGCGCTTCGAAGTGCAATCGCTCTTTCTCGATAGATAATTTGCCCTAGATGTTATATGTTTATCGCCACTTTGTAATAAGCACCTTGTCATACATTGTGGGTATCATTGTGATATGCATAATTTGTAACCAAATGTAAAGTTTAGAGCTTATCGTCCTTCTCTGTCTAAAGTGGGGAAAATTCAACAGAATTGTCTAACAACAAATGTGTATTGGTTGTCTAGAACTTTTTAGTAGTATTAATCCTTGCGATGTAATCAGTATAGGGTACCTGCACTATTTCTGAGTTAATATATCAATAAGTCTTTATCAAAGAGTACATGCGCATTTCATGAGGCTTTATACGTACTGAACTAAGCTAGTAATAAATATTTTTATCTCAGTTTTTTTTACACATTAAAGTTGAAATTATTATTCGGATTTCTCTCTGTTTAATATGAACAGTCTGAAGCGCGGGATTCCTCGAGATTCCTTGCAGTAATATGAGCATGGTTGCTAGTACGACGCCACACCACAGCCAAATCCCAGCGATGGACTGGTGGGGATCTGGAAAAGGCCGTAATGGAGATCTCGCAATATTCCAGAAAGATCTACATGAGCAGCATTTTTGAGGAAGGTTTTGTTTTTGGACAACGAGTGACAACCAAAAGCACGTATAAATTTAGGCGTAGACCTAGCTGGAGCTTCCGTCAGTGCAGATCCCGGTGGTAATAGCAAATGTTTGACTTCGACCCTTGAAGACTGAGATGAAGAAAAGTTCCACGTGAACAGTAATTGAATGTGGGTCAATCGATCCTAGGATGATGGCTTGTACTATGTATCATTGAGAGGGAAAGTTCACTTTTCTCTCGGATATCAAAAGGGAACATTAATATTCCCTAATGTAGATACAGGGATTGTGATTCGTATGAGTTTGCCTGCGCGGTTGCCCATTCGAACTTTATTACGTCGCTTAGAGATCGAGATAAAGTTCTATTCTCTAGTTAAGGAACGGACTCCCTGGAATCGGCTCAACCGTAGATAGGGGCGTTGTTTCCGTAAAGCATCGCACTTTCTGTGATGTCTCGTGTTCTCTGGGCGATCTTTGGAAAATCAAGGAAGGCTATTAATCTGTGGTACATTGTACCGACATCCACATCAGGTCTCCAAGATGAAGATAGTCCTCCATGGTTAACGCAGTTCTATCCTTATCGGCCCAGTATATTCGCATCAAAATTGTCAGGAAAGAGCTCTCCGTGGTCAGCAAAGGTGTGTTAAAAATAAATGGGAGCGCTCTAGTAGATCTATTTTGGGATCCCAGAGAGAATCCGTTCGACTATAATTCAATGAAGTTCATTACGAAGGCAAACTTTTCAAGTACTGTATTGTAGAAGACGAGTGCAAGGCAACCAAGCGAATCAGATGTGAAGTTGATGACCAGTCACATAAATAGAAACGAAGAAGCATTTTAGTAAAGTGCGACTTCAATGACAGTGGCATCAAAAGTGGGAATACCACCAAATGGCCAATCTAGAAAGTGCCTAGTCCAATCTAATTAGCTCGAAACCACTTTTTCCTGAAACACATTTGAATGAAGCACAATAAACGACAGTAGCAAAATTTCACTTACATTTTCTAAAGTGTAACAGTGGGTTTTAATATTTCTTTTGCTATCACCTATTCACACCTAACAGCTGTAGGTTACTGCCGTCAAGGATCCTACTTCGAGAGTGAAAAAAATAAAATGAAATAAAACAGAATTAGACAATAAGGCATTTAAAACGAAGCCTTTGTTAACTTCCTGAAGATTCACTGTCGCCACATTTTCATTAGTTCAGTTAAGCTCCCCATCTTGACAGTTGTTTATTCGTACTTCGTGATCACTTGTTAATGATGCCGGTGATGATGGTGATGACGATGATGACGATGATGATAACGATGATGATGATGATGATGATGATGATGACCGATGGCCGCGTCATAAGCCTATCATTTATCGACGAGCCATCAATACGTTGCCTATTGCTCCAGTGCACAAAGCAGTCAGTCGCGTCTGTCGAAGTCCTCAATTGTATACAATTTCTTCGCTTTGTTAACAATACTCTTATCGATTCTCAACGTATTTTATGGTTTCATGGCTCATTGTTTAAAAAAATCTATATGCTACTAATATGTAACCTAAGCTAACGTGTTCAGTATTTTTACGATTTTCTTGAAAAGAAGACGACAAACGAGAGAAATTTTTCTCAAAATTTTTGAAATTTTTCTCCAATTTTTGTCTTCATTTATAAGCTAAGTCATCCTTTGACTCTTTGCGAGTACTGTGATGAAATGTTTTGAATGCTCTTTTCCTTCTTCATATTTTTAGCTGGTCCTATTTTTGTGCTTACTTGGGAATCTGTAAGCAACGAGTATGAAGGATTTCACGAAAAATAAATACAATGGTTATTACCATTCCCTTTGAAGTCGTCATTTTTTCCGAACTTTTTCAGTTGCCTACAGGATCAAGTAATGTCCCGTTTCTTGTTTGACTAACGATTTGCCTTCTTTTAAAAAGGCTCTTATCATAATATTTTACACCAGAATAAATACCAACAACCTACAATCGTTGAAGCGAATGCACAGGTGCTATTTCTCTTCTTGAATACATTTTTTAATAATTAATTATCGGTTACCCTCTTTTTGCATACTGTCTTAATCGTTATTTCTTGGCAAGTATTTCTTGTCTAAAACTTTCTAGGCATTAGCAATGATTTCTTTTTGATCAATGGAATTAATTCCTGAGAAAAATCCTAGTTTTTGCCTCGTTAATTCGTGTTGTTGCTTAGTGGTTCATGGCTCAGATGTCCAGCTTGCTTGAAAAATTTCGTATACGAGATGTGGTTCCTAAGGGCGAAGTTCCTGGATTCATAATCACGATTGATACTGGGTATATAAAGAGGGTAGCGGAAGCCGGTCCAATAAAGCTGTTCGAGAACTTGAAGCAGAATTCGATGTTGATTATTCGACCATCGTTCGTTATTTGAAACAAGTTACTCACGAAAACCCTTTTTAAGTCGGGTGCTGATAAGGCTGGTACAATGGAGTCTGCTCTGCGTTTATTCAGGCCGGTCAAAATGGCCCACTTCTCATTTATATTGAAACGGTAGATGGAAAATGGTTAATGTACCTCTGCAAATTTTCTTCAGTGTACTGATTGAAACGATGTGAAACTCTCAGTTCAGACACTACTGAGAGCCAAGTTTTCACTAAGGGAGCGTTTTGGTGACCGTTTACTGCTCTTTGACACTGTACAATTAACGCTGAAATGTTGAGCAAATCAAGCTACACAACTTGCGCTTATCAGTGAGAGCTCAGTAAAGTACTACTTTTTCATGCACTTCGACAACTGCTAAAAAGTATCCAGTGGCACATCTGTTGTCTGTTGAAGAAGCTTTCGAAGAGATTATCTCCACTGGAAACTTGGTATTCTATAGAAAGATGCATGATTTTGAAGCCGCCACCTAAAACTGGCTAATAATTTTGGCTCAGTTTGACAGATTAAAGATATGAGTGGGTCGATTAGAAAGATGTCGGCCGAAGAGTGGGCGCCAACAAAGTGCAGGACTCCCTCAGAGAGATCGTAAAGAAAGCGGTATACAGCTCACATGAGCTACTGCTGTATTCTTGACAGAAGAGAGTTATCGGCCACTCATGAGCGACGACTACAGAAGGGAAAGAAACGACGGTTGAAGGTGCCGCATAACTGGTAGTGATCGGCTATTAATAATTCCAGGCCAGTAAGTTTTGTAAAAATCTTCAGTTTATTCAAAGACAAGAACCACAATACTAATAAAACGACTAGCTAACAGATTAGTGAAATGCTTTTTTGTGAGTAGGTGATGGCTATTTCATAAACTTTTTTTATTTTTTTGCAGGTCATTTCCTGGTACCCATCATCCATGAATGTCTTATAAATCTTTAAGTGTGGTTTCAGCCGCTGCTTGAGGACCTTGAATGTAATAGAATACTGGTCGAGTTGATTCTCCCTGGAGACCCGAGATAGCTGGGCTGGATCGTTCCAAATTGGATTGTAGAAAATTGTTTTTACTCGAACAAGTTCAGTACCAATCTCCCGACCCCAGATTGCGAAGAGGCTTGGTGAGCCTGGCACGGAATCGAAGCAGCACGCTGCCCGTGATGATCTCCATCACTACCACTGTGCGATTCGCCTCGTGGTTAATGAAATAAACTGAAGGGATGAAGGTTAATGAGTTAACAAACAAAAGAATAAGATAGAAACAAAAGTTGTCGAAAAAATAATTTTATTGTCTACTGGTTGATAAATTTATTGATTAAGTTTAAAAATTTTAGTGTTTTCTTCATGAAAAAGCTTTTCGAAAATTTCCTGTTTCGCTGTCCACTGATAAGGAATGGAACTTGCGCAGATACGATCACTCACTCATCTGTGTTTAATTTATAAGTCGACGAAGAGATGGAAAGCCCACAATGTTGACGCTGCAGGTGTTGTTCTTATTCAATCCTTCTATAGTTTAACGCCGCACCCCAGCTATCGCTGTTAATGGATGCTGAACTATAAACTACAACAGATGATGTTTCATTTCTTAAAAGAACACTTGTTTCAAAACATTTGAGTATTCAGTTAGCAACCAAATGACATACTGGCACTGTTGTTCTCCGGCAAATTCTCTCGGCAATTGACCCGCATTCCAATGGTACCAATGACGTGAAATGTAAAATCATAAATTTCATGACAGAGAGGTTGTCATTTTTAGGAGCACCACCACTTCGCCATAAACTCCATCTATTTCGAGTACTACTGCGTATTCATTGGCTGACCAGTTTCTTTTCTCGTTCTTTTTTCCTAGCGCACAATTCCGCATGTGGAACAGACCAAAA